GTAATTGGTTTGCTAATGAATTAACGTCAGTTAGTGAACGATGCGGCGACGAAGTTAAGATCCGGAGAGATAGGGTATCGAACAGACGGTGGCTACTGATAGGAGCATGCAGATCCGCACTAAAAGGCTCGACTGTAGGTGTATCTCAGTAGCACCATTAACAGTGGCACCAGTAATTTGGCTACGTTGTGAAGAATGGATTTTATGCGAATTGTAATAGAGTAACTCTGTTAAATAATTCAGCTGAAAGCGAGGTAAAGCTCGATGAGACAGGCGATTCAGCACAGCCAGTTGCCGGAGACGCAGCAGCTAAAAAAAAGGATAAAAAGAAAAAGAAGAAAGCCGAAAAAGATAAAAAGCTGGAACTTGAATCCACCCCTGAAGGAGATTCTGTCGCCGCTTCAGGCGCGGAAAATCAAGAGGTAAGTTTTTTTTACTTGGTTATCAGCTTGACAAGATTGTAGGTGCTGTCCTGGAAAAAAACTTGACAGTTGTGCGTAATATTGTTTTATATTAAGCAAAGTTCCGGACGAAAAGTTGATTTTTTTTAAGGGGGCAGAGAAGAAAGAGGAAGACTCTTCTGTCGACAAAAAGAAGAAAAAAGAAACACCGAAGGAAACAAGGAAAAAGAAACATGTATGTTTATTAACAGCACAATACACTTCAACTTCACGTTTGCCTGCTTCTGAACCCCCTTTACTCCTGCTTGAACCTCAGATGGGTCTTTTCTCTCGGATACTGTAATACCGCTGGGAAACAAAAATGAGGTAATATGTAACTAAAGAAGTTGAGGGGCTAATACGTGTGGTAATGTACTACGTCATTAGATGTACCTATCCGGACAGTTGGATATTTCGGTAAAAATCTATTTTTCCATCTGTGATAAAGCACAGCTAGAAGCTGCTTTTTCACCGGGGGGCATTTGTGTAACAACTGTGAATCGGAAGTTTGGGCCAAAGAAGAAACTCGATATACAATAAATTTATCCAGCCAAGAGTGTTCGTCATTATCTGAAAATAGTATCGAACCTACCGTGATGTTTGAGCCTTCCTGTTCGAGTTTAGCGTACACCTTTTTTTTCAGGTTAGCATGATCAAAGAACTACTGCGGAAAAGGCAGGAAGAAGAAGAAAGATTATTGAGGGAACAGAAAGAGGAGGAAGAAAGATTGCTTGCAATACAGAAAGCCAAAGAAGAACAAGTGCGTTTATTTTGGTTAAATTTTGAGACACATCTTAGTTTGATCGTGAAAAACTAAGAAAAGATTAATTAAAGACTTGAAGTAAGTCACAAAATTTAATTGTTATTCTTGTCAGGAACGATTGGCGAGAGAGAAGAAGGAACGTGAAAAGCAAAGGAAGAAGGAACGCGATGAGAGGCTAAAAGCTGAAGGCAAATATTTGACGCCAGCACAGAAGGAGAAATTGAGGCGACAGCAGGCGTTGTTAGCGAATTCAAGTATATCTTTTGAACTTATTGAATGAGATAAAACGGTCTCTTGCACATTTATTTTCTATTTCTGCTTTGTGATTTTTCCAGATATCATACTTCCAATTGCACTGAGAAGAGAAGGCGAGGAAGAAGCACCAACGAAGCGTCCTGTTTATGGCAAGAGAAAGCCGAAGAAGGGACCCAAACCAGAAGAAAAAGGTTTCTGTTTCGAAGATTTTATGGGACTGCTACCTTTATTGAATTTCCAAAACTAGGAATAATTGTATGGCATGTGTGATAGCAATCGCGGTGATGGAAATAATAACAAAATTGTTATCGTTACCTCTTTGACTTTATCATCGCTGATTGTAACGAGGGATGCTGCTGTACCATAATATGTGAACAAAGACTAAATCCAGATTGTTGCATTTAACAACATTTTTGTGCCTCCCGTTGTTTTAGTGTCTGCACCAGAAAGCGTCCAGCCTGCACAGGAGCCTGAAATAAAACCAGCTGCAAAGCCGGCCGAAGAAATTTCAACGGCTCCAAAAATTCTTGATTCGTGGGATGACGAAATTGTCGATGACTGGGAAAGTTTAAATGTGGAGGAGGACACAAAGGAAGTGGCACAAAGTGCACTGGAACAAGCGAAACAACTTGCACCAGCGGTTCCTACAGCAGCAGAACTTGCAGCAGTTCCCGCACCAGGAGAACACCTTGCAGCAGCTTCTGCAAGAAATGAGGTTTGCTTTTATGTTGGTGTGTTTACAGCGGTGCGGGAGCCAGAATTTTTTTCGTTGGTATGGAATTACTGCGGAAGAAGCGAGGAGGAGAAAGAACACGAAAGTGTTTTTGGCCTTTTTTTCTAATATTATATGGGAAAATATTAGTTTTTCTCTTAAGAACTTTCAAATGCGTTAAACAAAAATTTGGTAGATAAAAATGATGACGTGTCTTTAAAAGATGTTTGACTTGTACAAGTCGCTTTTGCTTTCCTTTTATTTCTGTCCTCGCTCCCTTTCTGTCCTCCGGCCACCATTCTCTTCCTCCCTCTTTTCATTCCAAGGTT